GGTTTCGTACTGTACGCCTGGAGGTCTTGCTCCCAACTGCATTTTGTATTATTCCCCTTGTCACCTTTGGGATCGGTGGGCTCCTTTCCTTCTTGTACCATGGAGACTGCATGACGGATCAATTTGATTTGGAGCTTTCTCATGTGCATTCTCTGTAGCTCTGTGAAATCGACTCGGAAGCCTTTTCTGCCGCTTAGGTTCTCGTCCTGGGCCCGGCGCAGAAGATGACGAATCCAAAAATTCAACGAGTCTCTGTTTGATATGGGCCATACAAGGTTTGCTCGGTGGTGATTGACGAGCCAGTCAAACGAGTCACTTGGCTCGTAAACGTGTCGATTGTCGGCGTTGTTGTTCGCCATGGGGGGCCACGCTGTCTGTCAGTTTTTAAACCAGCACCAGATAGAAGTCAAGTCTGACGACGCAGAATGGGATTACCAGAAGGCAAAGGAGCCAAGTCCTGGGATTCTAGTTTGAAATAGGAATGCATACGTCAAGTCACGGTCTGGGTGTGGTCACCGCGCCACCGCCACGTCTCGCACCAGCGATGGAAAGATGCTGCGGCTTCTCACCACTGTAAGGCTTTATTTTCTATTGCAGCTTTAAAAATAGAAAGAGTGGGCCAAGATTAGAAAAGATATTCGAGGATACCCAGGGGGCTCCTAGGGTTAGCGGCCCGTCTGCTTAAATCCCCCAAATCTCTAGCTCCATCTAGTTTGTACTGTTTTTCTTGTTTCTATTTCAATCATGCCTGGCTCTATGTAATGTGTCAGATGCTGTGGAAACACTCTACTTCTAGACGTTATGTTCGCCCCAGGCCGTCAGCGAAGCGGCCACCAAGGTGATATAGACTGCAATGAACGGGGAGCCGATGGTATATTAGACAATGATCCTGATAGCAGAGTCCAAGATCAACAAGCAGCCAACCAGGAAACAGACCAGGAAGTCGAACGGGTAGTAGCACGGGAAATCGGAAAGGAAATCGCAAAGGAAATTGCAAGGGAAATCGCGAGGGAAATCGCAATCGCAAGGGAAATCGGGAGGGAAGTCGGGAAGGAAATCGCAAGCGTTATTGCAGGGGAAATCCCACGAGAAGCCAGACAGGAGGCTACACAGGAAGTCATACCACGGGATACACCCCAGGCAGATGCACCAGAGGAAGTTATACCAGGAGGACTTGCACCACGGGAAATTGCACCGCAGCAGGTTGCTCAGAACATTCAGCAGCCCGTCAACCGACTGGATAACCAGCAAATCCAACTCCTCGGTGCTACAATGACCCGGACGTCACTTCGCTCATCATGGCGGCTACAACTGACGTTTCCACACGGCTCCGAGTCCCTCGTGGATGAATTTTGCACCGAGTTCAACCGGAATCTGTCCTGGTCCCATATACTTAAACGCAAAGCTTCGTCTGCCTACATTCTTGATGCTCCGGATCCCCCGGACCCGGCTTTAGGCTGCCGAGTGATATTGCCAGTGCATGGGCTTGTGCAAGTGGCCCCGGTGCCGATCCCGACTCTGCATTTCGGGAGCAAGAGGGCTGCGAAAAGCTTCAAGAAACACGCCTATGTGTTTGAGCACCCGCCTGAGGATGCAGAATCTCAAAAGTCGTTGTATATGCCTGCGATGTTGATTGATGCGTTCCGGGAGAAGTTGAGTAGCAGGGGATCAAGGGTTTGGAGCTGGTGGCTGAATCCTAACTTCCATCTTCATTCTGGGGCGTTTTGACTTGGACCCTACGAACCCAGTCACGAGTCCGTGGAAACCGCAGCAGAGTTGGATGAAAGCCACGGGGGGTAGAGTTAAAGTACGGGATGGTTCATATATATAGTTGGTGACGACAAGTAGGCTTCGCCCATGAGTAGATGGCTGTCAATAAATACTATCGAGACCCTTGCTCGTGTTTAATTTGAATAAGATAAATCCCTCATCTTTTCAACAATGTCAGTCCAGGGCGTTGGTCATTCGGCCGCAGCGCTCTGGCTGGTGTTCCCTCGGCCCAAAATATCTTCAACACAAACGGGCGCGCCAACCTTATCCCTGGCATTTTTGCATTGGCGGCTTCATGGTTGATGTCGCAAAGGGACAGATGCCAATTGACTCTGGATTCAATGTTCCTTCCCTGCCGCCCCATGGCGCACTACTCCCCATAACATTCCATCTCAAGCTCAGCTCAGCTCAGCTCGGCGGCTTCCCGCTCCCTTTCAAGATTTGAGTGTAATTTCTTTCAAGGGCGGGTAGAATGGGAATCGCACATCAGGTCCCATTTTCAGTAAGCAGTCGGACACCTACTTTGTTCGTTTGACTGTATATTTGACTGTCGGCTCCAGATCTGCCCAAGACAATGGTGCAATGTGAGGAATATGCTCCCGCAGCGGAACGCATCATCTCGTGCGCGACACCCCATGACGCCATTATTGGGTTTCAGAAACTTTATTTTGACTTTGGAGCCAACAGCGCCTCGGGAGCGCCAAGAGGCAGATTGACCAACGATTCATGGCATACTGCGGCGCGGTTCTGGCCAAGTTGTTCCCTTTTGCACAAGTCATGGTCTTTAGTTATCTGGCGTGCCTACAATTCCAAAAGAAGATGGATCTGTCTACAAATTCTCGTCTGTGCCGGTATATAAGGGCGCAACGTATATTTCCCTAATCGAGGAATACAGTCTCGTGATTTTGAGACAAAGCATCGCAAGTAATGATACGCCTTTGGAATCCATGAATACATTTCCACGCTTTTATTATCCACACCGAGGACAGAATACCCATCTTAAACAATGTCTCAAAACGGGAGTCGAGAACAACCAGGAGTGCCGGGAGTGGTCTCACAACAGACATCAACAGAACAGACTCCTTTACTAGAGCGGGCTGCTTCACCAGAGGCTGGCCCTTCGCAAGAACCGCGACCTTTGGTGGAACGCGCTCCTTCACAAGAGAGGGCTGCTTCACCACAACCGGACCCTTCACAGCAGCCGGCTGACTTACCAGAACCGGGTGCTTCGCCAGAACCGGGCCCTTTAGAAGAACGGCCGCCTTCACCAGAACCAGGCCCTTCACAAGAACAGCCTCCTCCACAAGCGCGGCCTCCTGTACCGCGACCAGAGCCGCCAACCCCAGACACAGTCCCAGAGTTTGAGCCTGTACGGCCCTCCCGGAGATGTGTTTGGGTCAGGTGGTTCGGCTGCTATTCCCGACCCTCGGTCACTGGGCCTCGAGAAAAGCGCCTTGGTTCTACAGACTTTGACAAATATTGGAATGCGACTCTAAGGATCCACAATGAATCAGAATGCGAACGCACCCGCGAACAAGGCCTCTATGTATTCACCTACTGGCTAGTCTGGGGCCTGGTGATTGCTCAGCTGATCATCTCAGCATTCATCACGGGCTTCACCGCATTCGCACCGGCACCCAGCCAGCATGCTCTTAGGTCGATGGCGGACACTCTAAGCCAAATACCCATTACGAGTCTAGGAGGTGCCACGTTTATAATTACCAGTCTTTTGAGCCTGATGAGGACAGAACCCGAGAGGAGATGGAGGAATTCCCAAGAGTACAAAAAGGTCATTGACCTTATTACGCAGACTTCGGAAACACTCGAGTATCTCGGTTGGGTGAAGGATATGAGAGTTCCAGACCCGACAGGGGCACAGCAAGAGCCTACTCAGGCCAAAGAACCTACAAAGCCTATACATGCTCCACCTCGTCCGCACGGCATTCGGCATGTAGGGGGCCTTGTAGAGGACGCATTTCTGGCGTACGAAGCTGCAAAGCGAAATGTTGCTCTCAACAGACCGGGTGATTTTGGTCTGATTCCTCCAAGGAGTCCTGTCAATCCTGTGGAAGTATAAGAGCCTTTTCGTATTGAGGTGTGCTTTGAAAAGGTGTCACACGGAAATGGCGTTGGTTACACAAGGGCTACGGTCACGGGATTAGGGCAGAAGGGTCTCACCGACTTCTTGTATAAATAGACATCTTCGGTCCCTCAAGGCCTTGAGGAAAACCAAGGACCTTTGATACCAAAGACTGTTATTAGATGAATTGAGTAATTGCTCCAAGCTAGGCCCTTGTCACAAAAGGAAAGTCAAGTGAGAGGAAAAGAGCGGGGGGAAGACAACGGTTCGTAGAGGAGACCAAAAGAGCGGATTTGTATCACGTTTCCTCCGACCGTTGCTTTTTTGCCGTGAATAGACGTGGTGCTACTAGGTTTATACTGTCAGAACATATAATACTTTACCGTAACCTTCCATCTGCCCTTGGGTGTCTGAAACGAATAGGTCTATTGTTTAGATGTGTCGATATCGTGGAGTTATTATAAGAGGTCGCGCGGGTCGAGGTAAAATTGACTCATGTGGCTCAGCTATGCCTGACTTGTGAGCTGATATATACAAACAAGAATGTGTGCAAGTAAGCAGTCCCGGGTTTAAAGCCGATTCCTAATTCTACACGGATAGTCTAGCAGTCACGGCATATTGGTGCTACTGGCACTTATAAAGATGGCCACGATATTCTTTATAGCTTTAATGTTAGTTATTAGATTAAGAATAATACTTACTAGATAACTTTAATATAAGCGGATTCCCCTACTAGGTAGTTCCCTACTACTGTTCCGAGCGTCTAGGATATTTCTAATTATTAGCTAGTAAATAATATTAAAAGTAAGTTTTATATTAAGTACTTAAAAATAAATAAAAGTAAATAGCTTTATTAAATCTTCCTTTTTATTTTTTAAAAGTAATTATATTATTATAAAGCCTTAAATAAAACGTAGTAAAGAGAAAGCCAAGTGGAGATGTCCTATAATTATCACGTGGTCCGTGGGGAGGTCCCTTTTCTTTGACCAGACTTGTGCGTCAAACTCCCACCTCTCTGTCGCCTTGGGAAAAGTCAAATAATTACGCCAACCCAAGCTGTCCCCATTCACGAAAGGCCTTGACGGCCAAGCCGCCGGATCTGTGTCCTGGACGAATATTCCAACGATTCGTCTCCACAAACGACGTGCAGATGGCGTCTCCGCCGGCGCCAGGACGCGCGGTCCAAACACTAACCCTTCTGCTTGTCAAGGCAACGCGTCACAAGCTCTTACGAAGACTCTGGAGAAAACAGACCGGCCTTTTTCACATTGCCAACATCTGCATCAAGACCAAACCAGACGAGAACCTATCCGAAGCCTACGCTATGCAATTCGTCGGCACACACACATCCATTCCCGTGCCCAAGGTGTACTACGCCTTCGTCCATAAGGGAACATCATACATCGTCATGCGCCACATCAAAGGAAAAATGGCTGGATTTGACTGGTCATGCCGCTCGGAGGAATCGAAAGCGCGAATATTGGAACAACTGCGCGGCATGATCAGGGAGCTTCGCTCCGTTCCCCCCCCAGAAGGGACACGAGTTGGGAGCATCGACGGCGGGCCATTCTGGGACTGTCGTCTGCCATCACGGGACTACTGGGGCCCGTATGTCACCGTTGATGAGTTTCACCAAGCATTGACCGACGGCATTCCTTGGGATAGCGACTGCACCAAGTTCCCTGACCTTGCCGAGCTCTTTGCCTTCTATCGGCACGCAGACTATGCGTTGGTTCTGACCCACGGTGACTTGAGTAGCCTCAACATTCTGGTCCGCGGGGACACCGTCGTGGGAATAGTAGACTGGGAAACGGCTGGATGGTTCCCGGCGTACTGGGAGTACACAACTGCGAAATATGTCAATCCTCAGAATCCATTCTGGGCGGATCCCGTCGACCAGTTTTTAACGCCCATGCCAGAGGAGTGGAGGATGGAAACTATTAGACGCAAATACTTTGGTGACATTTAAATTCCGCCCAGACACGCACGCCTGACCCCCAACAAGAAGGCGGCGGAGAGTGCTCGGACATGCGGTCTCGTAGGATCCAGTCGCAGATGCCAGTTGCGTCATCTCTTTTCCCGCGATACGACTTATTTGGAGGGTGATGACCTAGCGCTCGAGCGTGGATTTCGCGCGTGTCCACTGAGGCATGCGAGTTCTTGTAGGGGCCCTTCTGGGAGGCCCATCAAGTGGCACGATTAATGATTCATGCCAACATGGAGGCTTGGCTAAGTAGCCAAGAGCTACAAATAGCTCGCACAAACACGATTGATGTCTACTCAAGGGATGGCATGCCCCACCTGAAGTACCTTCAATATTGGTAATATACGCCGACGTCTAACTTGGCCCGTATTGCTACAGTATATAAGTAGCACAGCTAGGCACGTTGATAATCTCTTCAACTCTGGGATACAGTACTATCAAGGTCTTTGATTCTCTTGCATTCTCTACTCAACTCATTCATCATGAAGTATATTGCCATCCTTTCAACCCTCGGCAGTCTGGCTTCTGCTGGAATAGTAGAAGCCAGGACCCCTCAGGCTTCGCCAGTTGATCAAGTTTCTACACCTGCTAGAAATGACACTGTTCTTTACGAAAATCTTGCCCAGGTCAATATCATGTTTGCTCACTTTATGTGCCACCAACTGGTTAGTATTCCCTCTAGCGGAGATGCAAGCAAATCGTGAGCCAAGGCTAATGCAGCAACTGTAGACTCAATTCATGACTGATGAAGCCCTCAAATTTGGTCGTCAATATGACCACTGTAGGGTTTCACTCCGGAAAACAGTCGTAAATATTGAGAAGACGCTTGACCTACCTATTGTTCCTGCGATATATGAGGAGTTGATGAACGACTACCCGTATTACTACGATAGTCGGAGGGAGTAGAGGCTGCAGGCTAGCAGAGACGTGATGGAAACTAGCAACGTGTAAATTGCAGCGCTTAATCACGGTCAAGCAACTGGTATGGTGGAAGGAATTCCTTTACTACCTTGACTCTGGCAATTTAGGCTATGGATACTATTTTTTTCGGAGACGGAGACTTGCTCTTTGTAGACAGGCTTTTAGACACCAATTTAACCCAATTCTTACAATTCTCCTCTGTGTTACAACCCAACACGTAGGCTGCAGGTTGGGCCCGCTGGGATTAATCTCGGGATTAATGGTCGGGACGGAACCACTAAGCGAGACAAGCCGTTATTCGCGGGGTACGGCATTGTTCGATTGCGCCAAGTTCGGATAATTAAGCTTTTCCGGCCCGTTTCGTATTGGCATTAAGGCGATGTTTAACCGACGCCACTTGAAGCTGAAATCCGGGGCGCCCCCTTCCCCCATATCTGTTCCTTGTTTTCCAGAGCATACCTCAACAATCAACGTTATACTTGCCCACAGATCAATTTCCCGAGGACTCCTGGGTTGGTGATGCTATTTATTATATATGAATTCATTCGGACACGATGGATATCGTATACCACTAGTATTTCCCGTGCATGGACCTCATTTCTCTAATTATTCCTTGGTTGCTACCGGTCACATCTCACGCCTCTCATATAAGAGCAACGCGACGATGAGGAAGAAAGTTTTATTGCCTCTATAGACAGAAGTGCTGTCTGCGCACTAGCTTCGTTGTACAACGATGAAAAGCCATGCCGTATTGTGAACTGGGTTCGGGGTGGTTTTAATGTGTGTTTTTTTATCGAGTTCGGCAATGGCATCATAACCTGGGTAGTAAGGATTCCTATTGAACCAGCAGTCCATGATGTTTGGGACAAGCTGCAAAGTGAAGTTGCTACAATGCGGTAGGTCCCTTTGGTAATGTTGTAGGTGAAGGATTCACTAATCGTCATCTAGTTACATTCAAGAAAATACGAACATTCCGGTCCCCCACATCCACGCATTTGGCCAAAGTCTAATTGTCAAGAACAGCTCTAAGATGCAGGCATTTCTCATTATGGACTATATACCTGGCAGATCGCTAGATTTACTTAGTCTGGTAAACGAAACAGAAGAACGTTGAACGCAATTCTTCTCAGAACTTATTGACATATTTGTCCAGTTGCGGAAATTGGAGTTCCATGCTGTAGGCTTATTGATTCCAGATCCAACTGGTCAGTCGAAATACGTTGTGGGCAATTTTCGTTCTATGCCAATGAACGAACTTTAAATGTAAAAACAACGACGGCGATAATTGACATTCACATCAGCAACTCGGTTTGTTGATGAATTGTATGATATTCTTTCAGAAATATATCGGATGCCTATCGAAGAACTATCCCGCGAAACCGCAGAGCTTGAGCTGTTCGCACTCCATATCCTGGCAAAGGAGATTCCCAAGATTCTTGATTCCTAGTGGGACCAGGGGCCATTTGTGCTTACCTATGCCGACCTGAGGTGCGCTAATATCATCGTTGATGATGACTTCCATATCCGGGGTATTATAGATTGGGAGTGGGCAAGTACTGTTCCTTGATAATTTTTTACACCACCATCGTGGATTATAGGTCTTGATCTTGATTCTCTCCGTGGAATTTCGAAGGACATTTATGCAGAATTTCGCCACGTCCTGCAGGCAAAGAGCAAGGTATCCAGTGACTACGACCAGCTGCTGGAAGTCTGGGACTTTGATCACACCCTGACACTACCCCTGACCCGGATCCTTCAACACCCCACCAGTCTTATTCGTGTATTCTATAGATTTATTTATCCCAAAATGTTCCAGGAAACCCGCCACGAATTCGTTCTAAGGTTTTTCAAAAGTTACAGGAATTGGCCACTAGAGTTAGAGGTTTGACAACGCTTGGATGCGTCTTATCGATACACACGGTATCTGAAGGACAACGGATTGTTTGTTGTTGACGAACAATCCCAGAAGATTAACGAGTGGCTGCTCAAGGGACGTGAGTTGGAAATGAAACTCGGGTTAACTACTGAGTCTGTGTGACAAGGGCTTGACACAAGGGCTTGGAGCGTAATGACTCTATTCAGAGAAAATCATATAGGATGTCAAAGGTCCTTGGTTTTCTAAAGAAAGGCAGAAATGAGTGACCACTACATATACACGAAGCGAACAGTCATGCCCAAGGCTTCCAACAGGCCATGTGTTCAGTCTGTGTAACCTCAAGGTCCTTTATCGCGATACCGCTTTGTCGGGCGTTTGTCATTGAGCCTTTATCGTGCAATAGTCTGTTTCGTAATGTACGTCTATTGCAACCTCCGCTTCTGCTCTTTCAAGTCCTTAAGTTTCAGCCATTGCTGTCTGATAGCCTCCTCCATTTCTATCACTCTTCTATTGTACAATGCCAGTGCGTTATCCACAGTAGCCGTCTCTCTCTTCCCTTGTCTTATCCTTGAACCAGAGCCGCTATCCGACATGCGTTGCCTCGCATCGCGAGGGAGAGATTCAATATATGCCACGAGCTGCTGCATTTCTATTTCCTTTTCATTAATCCAGGCAATTGATTTATTAATTGCGTTCTTGAGTCTCTGAATCTCGGCGATTTTCATTTGTTGCGAGTCGGGCTTAGGCATGATGTTTGAATCCTTCGCTCGAATGTTATTTGACTGGGCTTAGTTCTCTGTGAAAGGGAAAACTAGCTCACTGTGTGAGAAGAATTGTGGATATCAAAGTTGGCACCTAGATTTCTCGTTTGTTGAAAATACAAAGTTATTAAGCGCCGACAACAAACATTCATGAGACAAGATGCAGACCGGTAACTGATCACCCGCCGTCACGTAGAGCATCAAACAGTTTCCAGAAGTGAATGCCACTTATATTCTTCTGAATGCAAGAGCGGGGTTTAGTATTCACAGGACCTTGATGCAGGAAGAAGCGCGGACCGTGAGTGACAGAAAGTGTCGATCCAAGTTGCATGCCGTGATTGGTCCAGCAAGCCAAGCTCCGGGCGGCAACTGTTGTTGAACATGAAACAGCA